CGAAGCGAGAAGCACCGCGAGCAGATGTTCTTCATGCTCATGCAGCTCTTCGACACCTTCATCCTCAAAACACACAAGTCCAAATACGTCCAGTTCCTCCTCTTCTACGTCTGCGCCATGGACATCAACTACACACACGTACGTGCGCACCCGCCCCGCTCCCTCGACTCCGACCACCGCACTCACCTCTCGCTTTCGCTCTTTTTCTCTCTTTCGCTCTTTCGCGCTCAGGCCTTTGTGCGATACCTGCTGGAGAAGGTGATGGACGTGAGCAACCACCCGCTCACGCGAAGCACATGCGCGGCCTACCTGGGCTCCTTCCTCGCCCGATCCACGCTCGTTCCCACACAGCTCGTCCAAGAGCCACTACAGAGTACGTCCCCCACGCCTGGCTCGCGCAACACCAAACTTATCGAGCGCTTACCGTGTCTTCTTCCCGTGTGCGTGTGCGCTCTGCAGTCATGAGCCGATGGGCGCTCCAGTACGGCACACAGAACCGGGACACGATGCCCGACGCCGAGGTCCACGGCCTCTTCTACTCCGTGTGCCAGGCCGTCTTCTACGTCGTCTGCTTCAAATACCAGCAGCTCGCCCTCCGCACACCCGTACGTGGCCCCACCCGAGCTCGCTCCGTCGTTCCATCTTTACTTTCATTCCATCATTCCATACATTCTCTTGCGAATCACAGGAGGGTGCGGCATTCCTCGACAGCCTGGAGCTCGACGCCATCATCCAATCGCGACTCAACCCGCTCCGGCTGTGCGCGTCGACGGTGGTCACCGAGTTCCTCAAGGTGGCGGCCGACCTGTGCGGACTGCTGCCCTCGGCTCGGGCCGTGCTCGAGCGCAACAAGCGGGTCGTGCTGGCGACCAAGTCCGTCTTTGGCAACGCCAACCAGCTCGACTCCTTCTTCCCCTTCGACCCCTATCTCCTCCGCCACTCCTCCAAACACATCAGCGCCATCTACCAGACCTGGAGCCCCATCCCAGAGAACCCCGCCACGGCCACCACCGCGCCACCAACCACAACCACGGCCTCGACAGCTTCGACGATCGCGCGACCATCATCATCCGCCGCCGCGCCGCCGTCGCCTGCCATGCGCGTGCCGCTCACATTCCTGTCGTCGTTGCCCGGCTCGTCGTCGCCCAATCTCGGCGACGGGTACGGCAGCAGCAACGAGACGCCGCCGGGCACGCCCAACTTCCTCATGCGACGCGGCAGCATCGGCGGCGAGGAGCTGGCGGCGAGCTTCACCGGCTCGCCGGGGGGCTTTTCGAGCATGCTCTCGATGACCCCGGAGAGCGTGAGCAACGACGTGGACTTCTCCTGGAAGTACTCCTGGGGAGGCAAGTAAACCAGCAAATCACCACGGAATGCTGCGAGCAATAAACCTCTCGTCTTGTACAACCACGCCTTCACTTTCTCTGCTTCCAAGAGACCAGCTTGAGGGATGCTTCGGATGCCGATGGAGGAGCTAGTGGCATCGCTGGTAGTGCAAGACATTGTGGCCGAGTGGTTAAGGTGCCTCGCTGCTAACGAGGTGGGGTTTCCCCGCGCAGGTTCGAATCCTGCCAATGTCGATCGGTCTTTTGCATGTTTCTTAGCCACACAGCGGAGACAGAGCTGCCGATCATACATGACACACACGACACACCAGGAGATTGATCAGTGCTTGCGAACACCACAAGAGTCTATGGCTGCGACGCACAACCAGACCATGACCACACGAAGCTTGTTGGGTCAGTTTTTGGTTTTTTTAAAAAAAATGTAAGGCGGATTGGTACGTCGCCAAGGGTCGCACCTCTGAAGCCATCCGCAAGCTCATGTCCCGCGAGGTGCGCACGCATAGGACACCCCACTTCTTTATTTTTTCTAATAAATAATTCAGGAAAGACTGCGCGCAGAGAGCTCTACTACTCCCCAATGTCAAGCAAGAACCGCAAGAGGAAGGAAAGGAGGCGTAGACAAGCCACGCTGGCCAGTGGTGGCAACATGTTTGCCGTGCTGGGCGAAGCGGAAGATGGCATCAATCACCCCTCGCCCTCCACTTCTACACGCGTCACACAAGACAGCAAGGACGGTGGCAAGAGCGCCATGGGCAAGAAGAAGAAGAGGCGAAGAGACAACGATTACCGCAGCGTAGTAGAGGACAATTGCAAAAGAATCGAACAATTCACAAACGCCAAAGATGGCGCCAAGAATGGGAACGAGCTTTTCCTGGGCGGCAATCTGAACACGCTCGAGAAGAGACTGTTGGGCGACTTCGCCAGGGGCCTGGGGCTGAACGCGGTCGATGGCGGACCACCCAAGCACACGCTGCGCATCTCCAAGCCGGCGGACTGGGCACAGCGAAGGGAGAAGATGGAGGAGGATGAGAAGAGGGCACGCAAAGCGCGAGGAGGCCGAGCCGCCAAGCCCTTCACCGCCGCCACCCTGCCCGTCACTCTGCGCAACAGGTTTGTGCCCTCCCCCCCCCACCACCATAAGCGAAGTTCTTCGCTTTCGTTCTTTCGTTCTTCGCTTCGCTCTCTGGCGCTCGATGGGGCTGATGGGTGCTGGCGGTGGACCGCTGCGGTTCAGGTTCTGCATCGACTTTACTGTGCCGATGCCGGTGCTGGAGTCGCCCTATTTCGAGTACTTCTGTAGCCTCTACGAGCCCGTGCTCCACTCACAAACCAACCTGGACCTCTTCCTCGAGGCTGTCAACTCTCAAGGTTTCCTCTCTCTCTCTCTTGTTGTGCGTATGGGTGAGCCCGCCATTGTCAGTGTTGTTTGACACTCCTGTCACGCCAGGCAGCGTGGCCAAGTGGAAGAACTACACGGGCGAGCTGGTGCAGCGCATCATCGATGACGTCACCGGCACAGAGGCCTACAAGACCTTTGCCGCCGACAACCTGTCCCGGTTTGACATCAAAGACCCGGCTCCCGAGCGGTGCGCTCTAAACCCCTCCCAGTGTCAGTCAGCTTCTTTTGCCTCACGCACGACACGTGCACGCGCACGACACACGGCATGACACACACATGACTCACAAACGACGCACTCATGCACGCACACGATCTATCCACCAGTGCTGCTACGGAGAACCTCTACAAAATCGAGAACTCGGGCAAGTACTACGTCTCCCTGGACTTCACCTCGGCCAACTTCAACGCTCTTCGCTACTACGACCCTCGTCTTGTCTTTGAGACCAAGGTACGGCACCAGGCGTTGAGCGATTCTATGTTCTTTATTTGCTCGGTGCTCATGTTAACGCAACACACAACACACAACGCAACACAACGCATTTCTTTCCTATACCACAGAACTGGGTGGAATTCTTGAGTCGCTACACGAGCTATCAGGCGCTGCTCAACAGCAAGCGATTCCGGGCTGCGGCGCTGGGCAAGATCAACCATCAGGCGCAGTCGAAGATCTACCACGCGCTCAACCACCGAATCTACACTCTGCTGATGAGCCACAACGTCGTAAGTCCTGACCAGGTCCGTCATCCACTCCCCTACGATCCACTCATGTCTTCTCTCTTCGCCCCTGATCGCTCTTCGCTCTTTTCTTTTTTGGTGGGCATTCGGCGCTGCAGATAGCGTGCAAGTATACCGACGAGATAGTGATCGAGACGACAAAGAGCGACTACTGCGCCCTCGTGGCCAAGCTACGGCAGTTCCTCGATGAGAAGGCGAGCGACATCGACTTCGTCCGGCTCGAGCCCTTCCGACTGGTGCGCCTGGGTCCGGCCACGAACAACGACACCGAGATGTTTGTGAAGGAGGCCCTCAGTACCGAGGCCGAGGCCGAGGCCGAAGCTGAGGAAGCTGCTGGTGCAGGAGCGCCGCCTGCGTCGGTCACGTTCAAGTGCGTCTACACCCGCAAGTTCGCGCTGGCATTCAAGTACTACTTCCACCAGGAGATCAACGAGATGGACAGAACCTATGTCGACGCCGAGGGTCGATTTCACACCATGTCTGAAGAGGAACTCTGGCGCGCCTGGAACTGATGGTGGCGTGGCGAGTCCCGCAAGAAGCAAGCGAGTGCTAGTGTGTGTGATCGTGATTCCTGAAACAGGAATATTTCGAGGATTCGTGAACAACAATCTTGACCAGAACATGCGCACCAATAGGGTTTCAATCAGAGGAGTGGTTCCACCAACAACAAATAAGAGAAAATGTACCACACAATTTTCCTGTTAGGGTTTTTCCGTGGCCTATTCGTACCCCGCAAGCTCATTTGTTGCGTTACCCTCTGTACATCTCTTCAATCTCGTCTCGGAGACTGCAAGAAGAGCAGGAGGATGAGCCACCATGCGTCCTCGAGCACGGATTACTCCATCAATGGAAACGATTTCCGGGTGGGTTCTCCGGCAGTGCTCTACTCGAGCGACGTCGATGTAGATGCCTCGTTTTCGGATGTGGGCAGCGGCGAAGAAAACACGGCCCTCCACAGCCTCCTTGGAAGGGCTTCTCGCAAGAAGAAGAAGGTGCCCCTCGATCATGGGCGAGGTGCGTTTTCATTTTATAATGCAGAAATTACAATTACAATTAAAATGCGGCTCTAAATGGCTCCATGCTCCCCGATCTCCTGCTCTCCGGTGGATGCAGAGCCATTTTCCTCATTAACATTCATCAACACGCACAGAGCGTAGCATGTCGTCGCTTGGTATGCCGGAGCAGTACAAGGGCGACTGGAAGGAAATCGAGGTGCCACCGCTCGCGCCCGAGGAACCCGAGGTGCCCGCCTTTCCCCACATAATTATCTCCATTCATCATCTCCATTTAATCATTTGCCAAATCATTGTTCTATTCGTTTGTCAAAATCGCTTTGTGCTACACAAATCATGATTTCGCCATTTCCCTTTTTCACCACTTTGATTTCGTATTCCTCCATCCACGAGTGCACTACTTACCCCTCGAGCTGCTCGTGGCCTGCACAGGGTGACGAACATGGAGGCTTCATGTCCAAGATCCCGTGCTGGCCCAAGAAGAAGTCCATGACCGAAGAGGAGAAGATTGAGGCCCACAAGCTCGGTACGGCGCCTGTCCCTCGAGCTTTAGAGGTCCGACCACTGAGTGTGTGCTAACGTAAAACGATGGTTCCACGACCACTATCGATTGCGGTGGCGTCGTGCAGGTCAGTGGCGAGCAACGTCGATCGCCGGTAACGACATCACGTCGTCGTGCCTCTACGTGGCCGGTATCGCCACCATGGCCGGCGGCAAGTTCGCCCCCATCTCCCTCCTCATCGTCGCCATCGTGCTCTATCTCTTCCGAGGTACGACCTGCCACTGCGTTCACCACATGAAGAAGAAGAAGAAGACTGACACCCGCCCGCGATGCAATCAATGGCATTTCAAAAATGCTACAGGCGTGTACACGGAAGTGGGAAGCGCGCTGCCGATGAACGGTGGCTCCTACACGTGCCTGCTCAACACGACCACCAAGCTCATCGGCTCGGTGGCCGCGTGTCTCACCATGCTTTCCTATACCGCCACCGCCGTCGTATCGGCGCAGTCTGCGATGTCCTACTTTTCCTACGGTAAGCCCCCCCCCGCACCTCTTTTCGTTCTTTTTTCGTTCTCTTTCTCTCTTTTCACACAACACCGGCGTGTGTGCAGGTCTCTACGACGGCTTCTCGGTGTACTGGGGCACGATCATCATTTTGGGCATCTTCGCGGCGCTCAACTTGTGCGGTCTCTCCGAGTCGGCCAACGTGGCGCTGCTCATCTTCATCGCCCACATCTTCACCCTCACACTCCTCTGCGCCACCGCCTTCGCCTACATGGCCCAGGTACGCACCAGCCACTCGTCGCCCACCCAATACCGCCGTCGCAATCTTAATTCTACATATTATTTTTTATATTTCTACATAAATTATAATTATTATTGCCTTATTATTGTTGTCTTTCTTATTGATCGACATTGCCTGGCAGGATTGGTCGACGCTGGTGGACAACTGGAGCACGCCGCCCATCAACAACGTAGTGTCCGACATCTACTTTGGCTACTGTTCCGGCCTGCTCGGTGTGACGGGCTTCGAGACCTCGGCCAACTACATCGAGGAGCAGAAGGACGGCGTCTTCCCCAAGGTACACGCGCGCCACGCTCGGTTTTTTGCGGTTGTCAGGCTATGGACATTGAACTGATCCGTGGTGTCGTGTCGTGTGCGAATGCGTGGATTTGATGGAACGCGTAGACTCTGCGCAACATGTGGATCGCCGTGGCCATCTTCAACCCACTCCTGGGCCTCCTCTCCCTGGGCACCGTTTCCATCCCGCAGATCGTTGCCAACAGCAACTACGTCCTTGCCGAAGTCGGCGGCGTACGCTCTCCCTTTTTGTGTTGTGTGTGTCGTGTGTGTCGTGTGTGTCGTGTGTTATTGATATTGAGAGGCCGGGTTACAATGGAACAGCTCACACGTTCGTTGTGGTTGGTGGTCTAAAGGTCACCGGAGGCCAGTGGCTGAACATCCTCGTGTCGGCCGACGCCACGCTCGTGCTGTGCGGTTCCGTGCTGACCTCGTACGTCGGCATCATCGGCCTCGTGCGCCGCATGACCCTCGACAGGTGCCTGCCCCAGTTCCTGCTCTACAAGAACCCGCTCACCGGCACCGAGCCCATCATCATCATCGGTGCGGATCCGCTCTGGCCGGTCATATTTATGTTTATGTTTATGTTTTTATTTATATATTGTGCCTTTGGTGCCTAATTTATGTCTCTGTTCGCAGGTTTCTTCTGCATCACCTCCTCGCTGTTCATCATCGTCGACGGTGCCGTTGAGACGCTGGCCGGCGTGTATGCCATCAGCTTCCTGGTACGGATGTGTGTTACGTGGCGCTCACACTTGTTTGATTGCTGACCGCACACGCACACACGCACACACGACACATAACGCGCAGAGCGTGATGGGTCTGTTCGCGATCGGCAACATTCTGCTCAAGTACAAGCGCGACCGTCTCCCGCGTGACGAGAAGGTCAGCTGGATCTCCGTGCTCCTCGGCCTCGGCTTCATGATCGCCGGTGCGTACCTATTCGCTATTATATTGGTGTATGAATATATACATTTATATATTTATATAACATAACGAGAAAAAGATCTCACTACTTACACTGTGACGTCACGACCCAGGTTGGATCGGTAACGTGATCTACAACCCGGACAACATCAAGTACTTCGCGATCTACTTCTCGGTGACGCTCTCGATCGTGCTGGTCATGTTCACGCGCACGCGAATCCTCAAGGTCGTCCTCTACTTCCTCGCCAACACCTTCCTCGACCGCTACATCGGCAAGTGGATCCGATCCCAGGGTACGCCAAAGCCCTTGCCCCATATTTTCTTGTTATTGTTCTTCTTATTATTTACAGAATGCATTTACGTCATTTATTAAATAACTAATAAATAAATAAATAAAATACTAAAATGAATGATTGCAGTGCGGAAGATCAACAAGCAGCACGTGGTGTTCTTCGCCAAGTCGGACGATCTGGAGATGCTCAACAAGGCCGTGCTCTACGTTCGCGAGAACGAGCTTACGGAAAGGTTCGTCTTGCACAACCCGTGTGTTACTGGTGCGTGTCGTGTCTCGTGTCGTGTGACACGCTCTGACACGACACCATGGTGGCGGTACCACAGGATGAAGATCTGCCACGTCTACAGGACGGAGGAGGAAATCCCCCCCAGGCTGGTCCACCACGTCGAAATCCTGGACGAGATGTACCCCAAGCTCAGGATCGATCTCGTACGCCACCACCGCACACGACACGACACGACACGCACTAGCACACGGATGTTTTGGCTTACATTTCTGCAACCCGGCCCCTAGGTGACGGTGCATGCCGAGGGCTTCACGGCGCGAGTCGTGCACACGCTGGCGGAGAAGTTGCACGTGCCCCAGAACTTCATGTTCATCTCGTGCCCCGGCGAGAACTTCCCCGAGAAGATCGCCAAGTACGGCGGCATGAGGATCGTCACGCACTAGCAACGTGTGTGTATGTTTTTTGTTGGTGGCCAGGGATAGATGGGCACCTCGGCCTCCGCACATGCTGGTGTGCGGTGTGTTTGCAACATTTATCGTATATTTTAAAAAAAACAACAAACAAAAAGAACTTGTGTTTATTTATGATGACTTGCTACGTGTCAAGAGGAAGGAGAAGGTGAAGGAGAAGACAGCTTGTGGGAGAGGAGGTAGACGTGCATGCCGATGTCTTCGTGGAACATGGAGCTCATGCCCTCGAACTCCTCCTCGCCCTCGCGCGCCGTTGCTCGCTGGAGGGCCGCCTCGCTGATCTCCACCTCGCGGCACCGGCCAAAGTGTCGCTTGACTTCCTCCATGAACCGCGCCTCGATCCACCCGAGCCGCTCCTGGAACGCCACCACCACTTCCGTGCCCTCCTGCTTACCCCCCCCCCACCGACGTGTCAGAGTCGACACGACACGACACGACACGACACGACACGACACGACACGACACGACACGACCAACGACACGACACGACACGATACGACCAACGACACGACCAACGACACGACCAACGACACGACCAACGACACGACATGCGCCAAACCTCGCTGAGGATGAGTATGGTGTGGAGGAGGGCCGGCAGACAGCCGGCGTTGTGTGCGCAGAAGACGAGGTCACTGCACACGACAAGGTCGAACGGCGGCGTGAGGTGGGCCACCTCACCGCCCCACTCCAGGGCCTGCACCTCCGGTTCCACGCTGCCCTCGGGCAGCGCCCGCAGGTTGAGTGCCACATTTTCCCTGTGTGCGGCCACACGGTTCGTGTCAGCTCGACGCAACACACCATCGCACACGCACCACCGCACACGACACAAACGCGCATCACTGCCCACAAACGCGCAGTGAAGGTGACGTGCCGCAAGAGTGGCAGCTGTTGGGGCACGTCGGTGAGCACGACACGGGCGGCGCCGAGGGCCGCGCACACGAGGCCCAGCAGGCCGGTGCCGCTGCCCAGGTCCATCACGCGCCTTCCGCCCACGCGGATCCCGCCCTCGCCCTCCTCCGCACCCAACAACTGGCCCGAAAAGAAGAAAAACAAATAAATAAGAATTCATAAAAATAAGAACAAAACAAATAAATAATAAATAAAAAAGTTGGATTGATGTTACAACGGGGAGGGAGTACCTGGAGGAGGACTTTGGCGGCGTTCCACACGATGCCGCCGGTGGTGCCACTGCCGGGCACCTGCTTGATGCGGATGCGGTGCTGCACGTCTTCATCTCCGGAGGGCCGGCGCGCATGCAGCAGCGCGTACTCGTCCCACCCTGGCTGTCCCTCCTTCTGCTCAACTTTGGCCTCCGCACTGCCGCCCTCCATCTGTTTTTGTTTTGACGTTTTTGTGTGTTTTGTTTTTTTGAACACAACAGAAAAGCTGCCAGTGGTTGACGAGGCCTCTCTCCTGAAGAAACGCTGCACCAGCAGACACACCACCAGCGCCACGTTACCCTGCCACGACAAGAGCCCTGCACGCACGCACCCCGCACACGACACACGAGACACACACGATACACACACACACGAGAACACACACGACACACCGCACCGAGGCGTACAATCCGCCGCATAACGACATTTCGGTTGACGCCACCGTATCTGGCGAGAGGGCATCATTGGCGCCGATAAGAGGGAGATAATGGCGCCCGCAACAATCAGCCACAGATCGGAGAGAAATCCTATTGGCGTTGTTTAATTTGTGTTTGTCCCCGTGGCTGGTATCTGCGTACAGCTTCTGCGCCCGCCCAACCACAAAAAGGCCCAGCACAGGGGGCAGACCTCATTCTCAACTGACCGCCAGCACAGCACAACAACCACAACCGCTACGGCACAAGTAGCTGCCCTCCACGCTCAGCACACACACACCTCCGCCGTGGAAATGAAGCTTCTTTCGCTCCGCCGCAGCCACGAGACCTACGAACCCGTCGGCCAGATTGACGACGCCGGCGCAGAGAGCCAGCCGCAGCGCCGGGGCCTCAGCAAGTGGGAGCAGCGGCTCGAGCGAGCGGCCGTCGAACAGGGAGCGGGTCCGTCGTCGTCCTCGTCGCTCCGCAAGTCGGACCCCACCTCTTCCACCGCCTCGGTGTCGCCTCGCGGACTGGACGACAAGGCCGATCCGAGCATTCAGAAGTTCAGGTCGAGCTCGCAGGTTCGCGCCATGGCCGAACTCTACGTCGCCAACCCCAAGGTGTTCGCCTGAACACCAGACGACTCTGCCGCTCGAGATATCTGGACGGCCCATTGTACAAATGTCCATAAATAACTAAACTGCAAATAAAATAATACCAGAAAATCATATAAAATACCGATAAGGCCGAGCTCCTACTTGCTCGGGCACGCGAGGTTCTTTTGGCGGTCTTCTTCGTGGAACGTGCACACCACAAGACCATTGGCGGGACGAGAGCCCAGAGGTGGCAACTTCTGCAAGCGCTCTTAAGAAATCGACGCCTTCATCATCATCTTGTCCTTCGTTTGCTGCAACGTGGAATCATGGGCGCTGTATGGAGCACGCTTGTGGGCGAAGCGGAAGATGGCGGCGATGAATCGTCAAGATTTAGAGAAGATGAGATTGACGGAGGCGATCTCGAAGAATTGACCCACAGCGAGAAGTACCGGCTGAAGAGGAACAAGAAGGCCGAGCAGAGACAGATGGATGAGCGCGATAAACAGCGAGACGAGGACGAGATGGACAACATCTACGTTCCGGGTCCGGGAGCCACCGGTTCGGGTCTCATCTGCAAGCTCACGGTCATCGAAACGGCGTGGGGCCGCGGCCTCGCCACCACCTGTCCCGCTAACGTGCGTACTTGTATTACTCATTATTTATTATCAATTACTTATATAAGACATAAATAGAACAACATTTATTTTTTCAAGCATTAAAATAAATAAATAAATGAACCAGGAGGGCGAACTGCTGGCGGAGGTGCCGGCGCGGTTCATCCTGCACAGCCGGAACGAGCGCGTGTGCCACGCCGCCGACCTGCGCAAGGCGCTGGCCGCCCATCCGCGCGTGGCGTCGCACCGCCACATGCTGGCCGCCGTCCTCTGGCTCCTCGAATCCGTCAACTGCGCCCAGTCCTTCTGGCAGCCTTACCTCTGTACTCTACCGAACCCTCTCGTGCGTGTGCGCACACGTGTGCGTTCCACGTTCCATTACATTTTTTAATTTACATATTTATTTATTTTGTTTATTATATCAGCGGAGCTGCCGGACGCTGTGGCGACGGTGGATCGGTGGAATCAGGAGGAGCTCGCCGAGGTGGGCCACACGCTGATGCTCTACGAGATGGTCGAGTACAAGAAGAAGAAGATCGCCGCCGACTACGCCGCCATCCTCCTCCCCTTCCTGCAGGTGACCACCCACCACACGACACATGCGACGCGACACTCACGACACGCGCGTACACTTGGTGTTGTGTGTGGTTGGCTGAATTCTGAACTGTTCGTGCGTGCGCAGGAGAACACGCAACTCTTTGGCGGGTCGATTCCGTCGGAGGAGGAGTACCGGCGCGCCCTCTCCCTGGTCTACTCGCGCACGTTCGACTTCTCAGAGCTCATTGGGGAGCACGTGTTCATCCCCTTCGTGGTACTCGCACACATAGACTCATACCGCACACGCGCCACCGCACACACAGGCATACCGCACACGCGCCACCGCACACACAGGCATACCGCACACTCGCCACCGCACACGCACGCACTGACTGCATTGGTGACATTCTTCAACACCATCGCCACCACTATCACAGGATTTCCTCAATCATTCGATCAACGACACGGGCAAGGCGGCGTGCACGTACAGCTACAACCACGACAAGGACTGCTTCGAACTCCTGGCCGGCGCTGACTACGACGAAGGAGAAGAAGTACACCTTATCATCGCCGCCACTTCCGTCGCTATCAACTACTTTGGATCTGACCATCGCACGCACACGCACAGGTGTTCATCTCCTACGGAGAAAAGACGAGCTCGCAGCTGCTGGCCTCGTACGGCTTCATGTACGAAAACAATGCCGAGGACACGGTCGATATTACTGCCTCCCTCTTCTCGCTCTCGCCTCCGCATTCGACTTCGACTTCGACTTCGACTTCATCTTCGTCATCGTCGACGCGTCGCTCTCCGCCGTCGCTGAAGCAGTTGACGCTGGAGGACCTCTTCTTTTCGCTCAAGACGGACCAACACACCGGCCAGCCGTTCCTGCACGCGTCGCTCCTCAACTTCATCCGCATCCAACACCTGTCCACCGAGCAAAAGGCCTGTTTCCTCACTCAGGACCTAGGTATGTTGGTGACCGACACGCAACACGCAACACGCAACACGCAACACGCAACACGCAACGCGCAACGCGCAACACGCAACACGCAACACGCCACGACACCCGACACCCGATATGCGAGACGCGTCAGTGCTGACACGCACGCACTTGGGCGGTGTACGCGGCAGGCCAGCGGCATGACCTGGTACGAAGCCACATCATCTTCGACGACCAGAACGAGGCCGAGACGAACCGCTTCCTTCTGTCGGCGCTCGAGCGCATGCTCAAAGCCTTTCCGACCACCATCGAGGTAAAAACCACCACTTTTCTTTGTTCAAATGTCAATAGTTATTCTATTTGTTGTGTTGTCAATTCTTCCTTTACTGATATTTATCTGCTGGACGCTCTAGGAGGACGAGCACCTGCTGGCGACGTGTGAGGATCTGACGAGCGGCAAGCGGTGGGCCATCCGGTACCGCAAGGAGGAGAAGCGGCTGTTACGCGACTACATCCGTGCCTACCGGCGATACGTCGGCATGGACTCATGAGAGACAGAGAGAGAGAGAGAATAAAAAATGATGGTGGGTCGCAGGCACAGTTCTGGTTGCAACCGTTGAGAAGCATCAGTGGGTCATGAAGGCCAGGGGCCGGCGTCGAGGCCTTCAAAGGTCCAGCCGGCCCAGTCGCCCATCATGCCGTCGTCACCGAAGCCCGCCTTGCGATAGATGCGGCCCGGGGCCTCTTCCATCCAAAAGATGCACACCTCCTTCTTGCCGCCGCCGCCATCGCTGTCCGCCGGCGCCAGAGCCCACCGGGTGGCCGCGCGGACCAGGCGGCCGGCAATGCCGCGGCATCGGTACTCTGGCGCCGTGCACACGGCCGAGATGGCAAAGTTGAAGGGCGTCTCCCGCTTCAGGTAGAGGAAGCCGGTGATCACCTCCTCCTCCTCCTTCTTCTTCACGTCACCGTGATCGTCGTTGATGTCGTGGTCATCGGCCGCGGACCGCATGACGTGGACAAAGACCCGGCTGCCGGGCTCGTCGGCCAGCGTGCGGCGGACTTGGTGTCGGCACTCGTCGATCGGCGTCGGTGGGAGGACGAACACCTCGTAGAGCCGCGCCAGCCGCTCCTCGTCATCGCGCCCCACCACGAACCGCCGCACTTCGCCCTCCTCACCACCACCACCACTCGTCGTCGCTGTTGCGCCGCTGCCGGCCTGGTCGACCAGGCGGAGGGTGGTCGAAGTGCAGGCGGCGGCGGTGAGGGTCCAGTGCGGCGTCGCGCGTCGGTTGAGCAACCGGCCCACGGCGTCGGCCAGCGGTCGGCTGAGCCAGGCGGGACCCGTCACCCGCCGCACCGTGCCCAGCCACTCGGCCGACACCCGGCCGGCCAGGTGCTCGGCCAGCGCCTCCACGTGGCGGCCGACCACCTCAACATCGTTACCATCGCAGGCGTCGGTGAAGGAAACGAAGATGGGGAAGGCGTCGACGCGGGCCAACATCAGAACTGGTCGTGGTCGTTGGCTGGCTCCGGCGGAGGTGGTGGAGGAGGGCCAGGTGGCGAGGAAGAGGCACTCGGAGGCGGAGGGGGCGAAGGCGGGGGCGAGGAGCAGGTTGGCGGCCCACGACGAGCGGCGGAGGTGCGGCTCCAACGCCGCCACGAACATCGCCGCCGTGGCGTACCGCACAACCACCACGTCCCCCGCAAGTGCTGCGGCGCTCTCCATCACGATCGACTTCGTGTACTCTTGGGGGCAGCCGCACAAGTTCTAAGGCAGCCGACATCACCGTTCGTTGGCCGACAGTATTTGGGACTCGGAGAGAAAACAAGAAGAAAAGTAACGAGAAAAGGCAAAGGAAACAAGTTCGACGAAATGTTGACGGAGGAGCAAGCTGCGGGCAAGGTGGGGCTGCTCGAGCTCTCAGACATGGGCCATTTACAACATTATATCATCGGCAAGCAAACACCACCTGAGCAAGACTTTAACACAGAGTACACTGCCCCCCCCCACTCTCTCCCTCACTACGCTGGGGTAGGGCACAGGGCAGAAATTGAGGTTTCTTTTTGGTAGATGGCAAGCAAGGAAAGGTGCGATGTGGGTCTCGTGGGACTCGGCGTGATGGGCCAAAACCTGATCCTCAACATGGAGAACAAGGGCTACCGCGTCGCTATCCATAACCGCACCGTAGCGAAGGTTCGTCTACTACACCACTTTCCACGTGTCTGTGCTGACCCAAGCACGGTGTGCGCAGATCGACGAGTTCATCAAGAAGAAGGGCGAGGGCAAG